TTACTTGGAACTATTAACCAAATATAGTGCCAATACATCATCATCCAGTCCCCATAGCACCCAGTCATTCCCCAAGTGCCCTTTAAGAAATTGCTTAGCTTCTGGAAGCTCGGCCTCGTTTCCACAGAGAACTTTCCTAGGTAAAGATGCCGTACCTGAAGAACACATTTTCTGCCTTCAGGTATAAAAGACACAGAAATGGAGCTGGCAGAGAACTCCTTCTTGCTAGCTTCGGCTTCAAACCTGTTTTGTCCCATCGAGACTTGAGGAGAAGACAGCACCTCCAGCTAAACGGGGATGGGGGGGAAGGGAGGGGAGGAGTGAACCCTATGGACTTTCCTTCCTTGCCAAATTTGCAACTGAAATAAGAATGGAGACACTGTACCCCATGACCCCAAATTCCAGCCCTATCAGGCAATTGGAGATGAAGAAGCAACCTGGAGTTAAGGAAAAACTTCCTAACAGTGAAAACAATTAACCAGTGAAACCCACTGGAGGTTTTTAAGAAAGAGACTGGACAGGGCTTCCTGCTTGAGCAGGACTTTGGACTAGAAGACCTCCAAGGTCCCTTCCGGCTCTATTATGACGGCTGGTTAATGGTATCCAGAATAGCTGAGAGGTCAGGTGGGCACAAGGGAAGTGCATTTATCCCTAGGTGCTCTTCAGGAGCCCTCCAGATCCATCGGGCTGGGCTGGACCCACCTAATAGGTTCCAGAGTACTCAGCAGTTTATGGCAGTTTTACCACAAAATAGCAATGCTTCTTGCCATATTGGTAGATACGACCCCAATCAGCCAGCTGAGCGCTAACGAGAAAAGTTTATGTTCAGGAAGTGGATTCAGGAGGAAGCTGGGAAAAAGAGGTCCATCTGGTAGCCCCTTTCCCCCCCCCACCCCGTTTGGAATCTCTGTTCCGGGATAATTAGCAAGGGGAAATCAATGTTTGTATTTACAATCATTGGAAAGGAAGAGATTACAAGACAATAAGCAAGCACACAGTGGAGAATAGGCATTGAAAGGAATGCCTTAGCCCCCAGCTTAGAAGCCAAAAGAAAGCCTTTGGGGGAAACTGATAATCAAAAAATAGATCTACAAACAACAAGAAGCAAACAAAGTTATAACCAGTAGCAGGCACGGGTTTGTCAAAAACAGATCATGCCAAGCCAATCTTTTTTCATTCTTCAATAAAGTGACTAAACTAATAGATCAGCAAAATGCTATGGACGTAGTATACTTAGATTTCAGTAAGGCATTTGATAAGGTAGACCACAACCTACTTGGTAAGCTAGAAAAAGATGAAATAGACAGCATCACCACCAGATGGATCTGTAGCTGACTAACAAACAGTACTGAACGAGTAGTCCTTAATGGCACTACATCCACATGGAGGGGAAGTAAGCAGTGGGTACCACAAGGCTCCGTCTTAGGCCCAGGACTCTTCAATATCTTCATAAATGACTTAGATGAGGGAATTGAAGGGGAACTCATCAAATTTGCAGATGACACCAAACTGGCAGGTGTAGCCAACATCCCAGAAGACAAACTCAGGATCCAAAAAGATTTTGACAAACTTGAACAATGGGCCCTATCCAACAAAATGAGTTTCAATGTGGAGAAAAGTAAAGTTTTACATTTAGGCAGGAAAAATCAAAGGCACAAGTTAGACTGGCGAGGCCTGGCTTAAAAACAGTAACTGTGAGAGGGACCTTGGAGTCCTAGTGGACGATCAGTTGACCTTGAGCCAGCTGTGTGCAACAGCAACCAAAAAAGCTAATTCAATCCTGGGTTGTATAAACAGGGGCGTAGAATCAAGATCACGTGAAGTATTAGTACCGCTTTATAAAGCCTTAGTAAGACCACACCTGGAATACTACAGCCAATTTTGGTCACCATATCACAAAAAAGATGTTGAGAGTTTGGAAAAAATTCAGAGAAGAGCAACTAAGATGATCAAAGGCCTGGAGACTAAAACATACGAAGAACAGCTGCGGGACTTGGGTTTGGATAGTCTAAAGAAAAGAAGAAATAGGGGAGACGTGATAGCAGTGTTCCAGTATTTGAGGGGCTGCCACCAAGAAGAGGGGGTCACGTTATTCACCAAAGCACCAGAGGGCAGGACAAGAAACAATGGTTGGAAACTGATCAAAGAGAGAAGCAACCTGGAATTAAGGAGAAACTTCCTGACAGTGAGGACAATCAACCAGTGGAACAGCTTGCCTCCAGAAATCGTGGGCGCTCCATCACTGGAGATTTTTAAGAAGAGACTAGACAGTCACTTGTCTGAGATGGTACAGGTTCTCCTGCTTGAGCAGGGGGCTGGACTAAAAGAGCTGCAAGGTCCCTTCCAGATTATTCTATTCTATTCTATTTCAAAGAGCAGGGCAAGCTGCCGGAAGGCTGCAAAGATGAACAAGATGTTAACCTGAGATGAGCACCTTTTAGGGAAGCGCTTAGAGCTTTTTAGAAATTTTAAGCCAGTGTTTTTCAACCTTGGCCCCTTGAAGATGGGTGGACTTAAACTCCCAGAATTCCCCAGCCAGTCTTCAAGTGGCTAAGGTTGAAAAACACTGTTTTAAGCAATCTTTCCCTTCTGCAAGGGAGGAAATTCTATGAAGGGGGGGAAACCACAAAAATTGGGAGTTAGGCAGCCAGGCACAAGACACCCCCCTCTCCAGAGCAAACATGATCATCTGCAAAGGTCAAACCTTTGGGGCAAGCCTACAGCCAAATGGAGGCCAAGCATTCTGTAGCTTTCCCAAGTGCAGGGTGTGGAATTGGTTATCCAGTGCCAAAACCTCCAGCGCTAGTCCAAAGACCAGAGTGGTGCCCAATGAAAGTTATGTTTACTTATCTGTAGTCCACAGTAAAGCAAATTCCTGCTTTCAGAACTGGTTTGAAAACTTTGCAGGGTGTTTCCAATAACCCTGACCCCCAGGAGTGCTTATTCTCAAGATCAGAGAGCTGTTCCCAAATGTTCTTCCTAAAATGACCACTCTTTTAATGTTGTTTTCTACCAGGTTGCTTGCTATACTCCAAGTACTTCTCAGTGGACAAGTGTCCGTCCTCTTCATGCCGGGCATGGTGAGCCTGGCATTGCTGTCCTGGGCCATAGGATTTACGTCTTGGGGGGAAGATCTCATAACCGTGGGATCTGCATGGACTACGTCCACATCTATGATGCCGAGAGAGACTGCTGGGAAGAGGGTCCTCAGTTGGAAGATGATATTTCCGGGATGGCAGCCTGCGTCCTTACTTTACCAAGGGCGATTCTCACAGAAGGCGAAATGGGCGTGTCTGACAGGCAGCAGAAGAGGGTCCAGGATTACTCAGGTGTGTCTGCTGAGGTCCTGAGAATATTAGATTGGGAGGAATTTGATAACATGAATGATAATTAGCTTTCTATTACTTTGGGGTTGGCTTTTCTTATTTGGGCTGCCATCAGAGCTCCGCCAAGCTGGAGGAAGCCTGATGCCATTCAGTAGTACAGTAGTTGAGCCATTGCAAGAAGCATTTTAAGGTACAGTTCTTTAAACTGATGAAGATTCTTTGATGAGAAGTGAAACATCTTTTTCCTCAAAGAAAAAACATAGTCCAGCTGCCTTTTGCAAAAGCACTTTTGAGACAACCATGACCTGGATGACTGAGAATCTCCACAGATGTACAGCTCATTGCTTGGCCAGTGGAAAACTTCCAGAAAAATTCAGTATGTGTCTTGATCAATCAGTCAGTCTTCAAATTATTTGCTGACTAGAACATACCTCACAGATGCATCAAATTAACTAGATACTAAAAGCTTAATGCAGATTCATCACAGAATCTGCATTAAAAATTCAAGTTTGGCATAATCTGGCTTTGTTGCACACAATCATGACTCCATATCTTCATTATCTCTGTACTGCGCATGATAATCACTGCATTTCATACAGATGGGGGAAAAAAACAAAGAACAGTATTTTTTTTCCATATTTATTTATTTTTAAATTGCTGCATCAGGTTTCCCGTATGCAAAAGCAGCCTTTCCTCTGGAGTAAACTATTGTGCCTAGTTAAATCAGAGGAGAAAGCTGCCAGGATAAGTCAAAGGATCCTGAGAAGTAGAAAGGAATTAAAATGCTGCTTAAGGTCTCAGCAGGAGGATGGTGGTTTCAATCCACCCTTCTCAGATGTTTTCTTTGCCTCCTTAGTGAAAAACACGTATTTGTAAAGAATTGTTCCTTGTGTTCAGTCGTTTCTCCACCAGAATCTGCTCTGGGTTCCAGAAAGCAACAGCTCAGTTGTGGTGCCATCTTTCTTACTTTCTGGGAAAACTCTTTTAACGTTGGTTGTTATTGTTCCTCTTAATAAATAAATTGCTGGTTTACGATTCCGAGTGCAGCCCCCAATGCCTCTTTTGTATGCTTGCTTTGCTTGTGTTTAATTTTTCCTCCGGCGCTGGAAAATGACCGACCATCCTGGCAAGCTGCACCGACGGGGTCAAAAGGGGGGGCCTGGGCTGGTCATCGCCGGGTCCAAAGGAGGGAGCCCCGTCGCGGGCCCCTCCCAGGAGCCTCGACCGAGGCGCCTCTGAGCACCGCGGTGGCGCTCCCGCCCAGGAGCCGTTCGGGAAACGCTCCTTCCGCGCCCGAGTTCCCTTTCCTAGCCTGACCCGCCTTCGGGCCGGAGCGGAGGGCGCGGGGAGGCCATCGGCCCGGCGTGTTCCCTCGCTCGGACAGCCGCTCGCGGGACTGGCGCAGGGCTGCGGGGAGGTCCGCCCGGCGGAAGGGGCAGCGGTGGGGCGCCACTCCCGGCCCTACCGAGGACGAGCGGGAACCGGGCGCGAAGAGCCTCCCGGGGGAACCGGCCGGGCCCAGAAGCGGGCGGGGAAAGCCCCCCACACCCTCCCTCCGGGCACAGGGCGGGGCTTCGCCCTCGCAGGAAAGCCCGCCTCCCCTCGTCGCAAGGCGCCCCTCCGGCCGGAAGCCCCGCCCGCCCCCGAGGAAGAGGTTGGGCGCGCCTGCGCGGCGAGCGTGTCGCGCGCGTCCTCCTCCTCCGGCTCCGCTGCGGCGCCATTTTGGCGCGGGCTCCGGCGGGCGCGGCGGCAAGGCTGTAGGAGCGGCGCGAGGAGCGGCGCCCCGCCCGCCATGATGTCGTCACCGCCGCCGCCGCCCGCCTCGTCCTCCTCAGCGGGGCCCTCAGCGCGCCGCTTCGACGCGTCGGACCGGGCGTCGTGGTACGCGGGCCCGCTGTCGCGCGCGGAGGCGCAGGGCCGGCTGCAGGGCCAGCGGCACGGGACCTTCCTGGTGCGCGACTCGTCCACCTGCCCCGGCGACTACGTGCTGTCGGTGTCGGAGAACGCGCGCGTCTCGCACTACATCATCAACTCGCTGCCCGGGCGGCGCTTTAAGATCGGCGACCAGGAGTTCGAGCACCTGCCGGCCCTGCTGGAGTTCTACAAGGTCCACTACCTGGACACCACCACCCTGCTGGAGCCCGCGCCCAGGTCAGCCGCCGCCCGGGGTCCCGATTGGGGGGGCGGGGGCGGTCCGGAAGGCGAAGCGAAGTCGGCGGGGCTTAGCTTTCAATGGGTTGGCGCCAAAGGGCTCCCGGCATGAGGAGCTTTTCAGGGAAACGGGGATAGCATCCAAGCCCCCCCCCCCTAGACCCGAAGGCTTTCCGAGACTGGCCTGTCTTTAACTGAATGGATTTGACCGAAAGGCTGCCAGAGGATTCTGGGCAACCAAGAAAGAGAATAAAAGGCCGTATAGTTCCAAAAAGACAAAATAGAGAACGAGATGGCAGATCTGGCCAACCACATAAAATTCATGTGTCAATAAAACTCACAGGACGCTCCAGCCACCCTGCCCACGGCTGGGCCAGACAGCAGAGGAAATGCCTGGGGCATCATTTTATTGAAAGTATAACTTTACTGAAGTTTCCATGTAGGTACAGAAGCAGAACACCCAGTTCTAACGATTTCGCTTGAAAACAGCATAGGAAAACTTTCCCTTTCCCCCCCCCCCCTGGACCACCCATTTGGCTACCCATCATTTGCACTCACTTTGTTTTGGGAACGACTTCCCCAGCTGGTGACCTTGAGGTGTTGGGTCTGTCTCAGGCTTCCAGTTGGCACACTTGCATTCCAAATTTTCCTCCCAAACTTCCCTTACATTCCAACGCCTCCCCTCACCCCTCCCGTTACAGTTGTCTGGTTGCGAATGGGGCTTTGGAGCAAGTCAACCATAACAGCCAGGGAGAAGAGCCAGGCTTTGTGGCCCTCCAGAATGCCATCAGGGTGAGGTGGAATTTCATTCCAGGTGGTAGGCACCAAAACAGAAGGCATGCCCTGAGTCCCAAAAGATGATACTGTTTAACGGAAGGGATCTCAAGGGTATTGACCTTGTTGTCTCACGTGAGTAGAAACCAGCAGTATGCCATGTAGGGCTTTATTGACAACCAGCATTCTGAACTGCACTCAGAAGGAAACAGGTGGCCAATGTAATAGTGTCACGTGTGCATACGAAGGTGTTTCTATTGTTGCTCACATCACCAGATGCTGGACTATTTGCAGCTTGCAGGTGTCTTCAAGGCCAGCTCCATGTAAGCACTTTAGAATAGTGGAGCAGTGAGGTGACTACACAACAAAAGATAATGTTATGAGAATGTCATTCTTTCATAAGAGTTTGAGTAATTCCCTTGTCGTCTTCAGGTATCCACTGATGGGTTCTGGTACTGGCTCAGGTGCATCAGCTGCAGAGGAGAATGTGGAATATGTTCGGACTCTTTATGACTTTCCTGGTAACGATGCGGAGGATCTACCATTTAAAAAGGGGGAGATACTCGTCATCGTAGAAAAACCTGAAGACCAGTGGTGGAGTGCCAGAAACAAAGATGGGCGCATCGGGATGATCCCTGTCCCTTACGTTGAGAAGCTTGTGAGATCATCTCCTCATGGGAAACATGGTGGTCGGAATTCCAATAGCTATGGGATTCCCGAGCCCGCTCACGCCTATGCTCAGCCTCAGACCTCGAGTCCTCTTCCCAGTGCTACTCATACGCCTGTCATCAGCCCCTTGCCTTCAACCCAGAATGGACCAGTCTATGCCAAAGCCATTCAAAAGAGGGTTCCCTGTGCTTATGACAAGACTGCCTTGGCATTGGAGGTAAGCCGTTCAGCTGGAGCAGGCTCCATGCAGCTTAGTTCAGTTTCCTCATCCAGTTGAAAGGGCCTGTCTCAAGCAGGAATTTAACTGCTCTCTGGTTTTCATGGACTGATAAATAACTGAATGTTCTGATCCTGCCTCCCACAGTCACTCTTAAATGTGGAGCCCCTGGTAAAACTCTGGGCCTCTGTGGTTAGGCTTGGCGATTAGACTTGGTGTGGGGGATGCAGCTGACATAGTCGGGTTTTGCCATCCATGGAGGCCTTTCAGCCGTTAGTGAATCTGCTTCTCTACTGCAGAATATTAAAAATCATTGAATGTTATGAAAGGATGACTGCTCACATTCTAAATATTTAAACAAAATAGTCTTTTATAAGTACTCCACGTTCATTCCTTCTGCTGAACCTGGGCTGTAAGGTTCTGTGTTACTCAGAATGGGGCAGATTTAACATTTCTCCAGATTAGGTGAATCACAAGTGAGGTTCAATAGAAGCATAAAGTCATGTCTTCAGGAAAAAAAAATATTTCACTTAGAAATTTTGAAAGTGCCTTATAGTTATGTTTTTAGGACTTGTAATAAATAAGCCTTTGATATTTCCCTCTTTCCCCATTCCACAGCTGCATGATACATTCATTCTCCATATATATTTATTGGTTAATTTTCTCAGACTGTTCTCAATGTAAATATCCAGTTATCATATTGTATATACTATTTTGTTCAGCCTTATTTTCTCATTGTATCTTGTAATAATTTTGTTTTGAGCAAGTTTAGTCTGAAGTGATCTCCCACTATGGCAGGGCTAACTCTGATATAGGCTTATAGCCTAAGCTTTCTTTCACAGTTGTACTTCTTAATCCTTCCCATTTCTTCTTGAAAAATACAGTAAAAGCCCCATTTATCCTCTTTCTATAACTCCTTGGTCATGTTTCCCAGTTCTTTTTATCATATGCCTATACCAGTGGTGGCGAACCTATGGCATGGGTGCCAGAAGCGGCACTCAGAGCCCTCTCTTTGGGCACAAATGCCGTTGCCCCAGTTCTAGGCCTTCAGCTGGGTTTTATAAAACCTTTTTGCTTTAGGCCTCCACTGCCGTGTGCCCCCCCCCCAAAAGGTTCAATCAATCAGTCAATTTCAACTTCTCGCGGGAAAAAAAAAGATCTTGCAAAGTTGGAATTGATTGATTGAACTTTTTAGTCCCACTCAGTCTGCCGTTACCACCGCAGCCACGCCCACCCAATGGGCCACACCCACCCAATGGGCCACGCCCACCCAATGGGCCACACCCACCCGGCACCCGACAATGCATAAGTGGGTTTTGGGTTGCAGTTTGGGCACTCGGTCTCTAAAAGATTCGCCATCACTGGCCTATACTCTCTTTTTCTTATACCGGATTACTGTTGCCATGGCCTCTTTAACTTCTCATTGAACAAGTGCCAGTATTTTGAATTCTACCAAAAGAGCTTTAAAAATGTCATCCTGATTGGGCAATTATAGAAAATGCTTTTCTTTGTGGTCCACTTCAAAAATGGTACTTTTGATTTTGTTTTCCCTTCTGCTCCCTTTCTTATTCAAGGTATTATTAGACTATGTTGTTTTCAGCTGATTGATATAGCTAGAATTTGGCCTTTACAGATAGTAATCTTAGCCAACATTTTATTCTCTTAGTTTCAAGAGATTTAAAATATTTCTTCAGAATTTCCTTAGATACTTGTTATGAGGGAGTAAAGAATTGCAAGCAGTATACAGCACCCCAGTATCCTGAGATTATATTACCAACACTCAGCAGGAAAACCCATTTATTAATCAACATATATGACTTGCAATGACTATTTTTCTGATAGGCAGATAATAATGATAGCTTCCTGGTCCCATTCCTTCTCTAATGCTCAGGAAAAGTAAACCACCTCCCTTACGGTGGGACTTAGTCCTCTACTATATGGTGCATTGAAACCCTCCAAACAATTAATTTCCAAATGATATTTTGGAATTTCCACAGGAGATGGTGCCTAGGCTTGTGGATGCTTTGATATTAAAATTCAGTTTTAAAAAAATAAAATGTCAAAACTGATGTTTTTCCATTTATAATTGACAAGGTAGATGGTACTATTCATACTTGAATTACTCTTCTAGTGCCTAGCTATATCTTTTCCAAAGGAGGTCCATATCTGCTTCTAAATCATCATATCGCCAACAGTTGGAACTAAGCATCTTCACGATGCATCAGCCGCAGAGCTGGGGAGCATTTCCTAGCAGAGCACCCTGAATACTGCCGAGATTGTCCTCTGCTCATTTGGTTCTCCTCCTCTTTGAACTTGCTCATGATATCACTTGCTAGGAAGCAGCAGGGAAGGGCTCTTTCATCCCCCAGGCCAGGCTGAGCAGCTTCCCAAAGATGCACAGTTGCCAGTTGTGTGAGGTGGATTGCTGGGCTAGATCAGGACCTGATTCTACCAGGCTCTTCCTGTGTCTTGGTCAGTATCTGGAAGCCTGAAAGATTGGATGGGACTGAGTAGCTGGCATTTAATAGACGATGGGCTTTGTATTAAAGGGAGTTGAATGCAATAAACAGAGAAAGAGAGAGGGAGTTAGAAAGGGTGGAAGCATGAGAGATAAGTGGCAGCCAAATCAGGCCTCTGGGTGTGCGGTGTAGTCCCAAGAAGCGATTCCTGGCCACTGAGGAGCCTTCAGCTCTCCCTCGTTTTTCATATGCATTTCCCTTGGCGTATCTGTCTGGGGATGTTTCTGAAGAGGTGGTATTTAATCTCTGTCAATGGCTTGAGGGTGGAGATTTGGGATGTTTGGTTTATCATGGGAAGCTAAACATGGCCTGACTTGGTCCTAATTTAATAAGATAGGAACCCCCTCCCCCACAAAGAAACCTTAAGGCTGTAAACTGCAGAGCAGGAGATTGACGAAAAATCTCGGATGACAACAGTGACAAACCACTTCCTGCTTCCTGCTCAGAACACCACACAGATGTGTCCGTGAATTGAGCTCAGCTTCAAGGATATTTTGCATTCCTTTACTTAGGTGATCTCGGATGGGGGGGGGTATTTGTCCATGGAGGCCAGCCTGGTTTATTTGCACCTAACTGTTGCTGGGTCTTCAAATGACTTTGATGCTGCTAATTGGAGCATCATCAGGCTTATCAAATATTACAAGTAGACAAGTCAGTTTCCCTTATTTCTTCTGTAAAATTCAGTGAACTGAGAGGGATGGTAACGAATTAGTTCAACCTCAAAGGGTCACCTATATGGATGAATTTCTGATATTTATAAGGCTTGCCGGACTCTTGGGAGAAAATAGAAGGAAGTCTACAAATTCTGCCTTCATTTCGTGAAGAAATCTTTTTCCTTATTAATAGCAATGCCTTAATGAGGGCTAGGACTTTTTTCCAAACCTGAGGTGCAGACAAAGGACCAAAGAGCCTTTGTCCATTCAGCCCGGTCTCCCAAGACTGCCTTGGACCTGCCTCCCCCCACTCACAGCACAGTTTAGAATGCCAGGCAGAATCTCAGGCGCTGCTCACTTGCCCCTTGGGCCCATGAGGGAGGTGGCTGAGCCCTTGGTATTCCGTAGTACATTCCTCCTCCCTAAGAGACAGCTGGCTTGGCAGAGAGAGGCAGGCTGACACTGTAGCGCCCCCCCCCCCAGCTTAGCCCAGCTTTTTTTTTTTTAAAGGCCAGCAGAACGAAGCGGCCCTACCTGGCCTGAAAGTCCATTCTACTCCTTCCTCCTGCCCTGCCTGGGAACGCTCTCCCAAAGTCGAGTTTGCCTTTGTGCTGCAGCCAACTGTGTCACTGAAGGGATGGGATAGAGAAAGAGATGGCGGTGAGCAGTCCCTTGGCCTGGGAACAGTTCCTCCCACATTGGAAAGAGCAGCTGCATGGAGGCTGAACCCCATGGGAGTCTCCGGCAGCCAAAACTGCAACAGGCCTCCATCAAAATCTTGCACTAGGAGGAAGCAAAAAATGTTTCTCACTGCTTCTTTGGAACAGTCGCTATCTAAGGAATTGTGGCTGTTAGATGTAATAATCCCAGTTCAGATTTATAGACAAACACACACATGCACACCATTCATATTGGAGTTGAATGCCATTTAGGTGCAGCTGCAAAAAAGGATTTAAGTTGAATCCATATTAACCAAGTTGAATCATAAAAATCAAGTTGCGCCATCAAGGGGATGATGGGGAGCTGCTCTTTTTCAATTCTGGACTTCTGTTCCCCATCCTGGAAACAGGTTAGTAAATCTATTATTTATACAACTTACTTTCACAAGATCCTTTGGAAAAAAAGAACCTTTGACCTATGTATCTATCCAGCCTTTGTAAGTCTTCTGTCTAGTCTTTTGTTTTGCTCTGACTGCTGGCATAAATAGAATTGCGTGTCCAAATGGACTGATTGTATAATTTTAAAGAGGAATTCTCCCATTTTCTGTGACTAAAGAAAATCTCCTCTCAACTTTCAACCTTTTAGCACTAAAAAACAAACTTTTCCATGGTACATTAGAATTTCATCTAATTACAGCAAACAAATCATTTTAAAGAATTTAATTCAAAGACATAAAATAGATTTATCCTCTCCCACTGCATACTTGCAGATTTTACTCAAAATATGACGGGTAAGCATTATCAGATTATACTGGTGAAGGCACTAGTGTAGGGGTCTTCAAACTTGGCCCTTTTATGACTTGTGGACTTCAACTCCCAGAATTCCTCAGCCAGGCACGCGAATTCTGGGAGTTGAAGTCCACAAGTCATAAAAGGGCCAGGTTTGAAGACCTGCACTAGTCCCACCTATACAAAGCTAGCTGAGAGACCTTGGGCCAGTCAGTCTCAGCAAACCACTTCCAAAATCTTGCCAAGAAAACCACAAGGCCATGCCCAGGCAGTCACCAGGATGGCTCAAAAGCAACTTTTTCTGAGGTCTTTGCTTTTCCAAAGGTGAACTCATTTTCAAGTTGTCATTTTTTGCATATACATCGTTTGAATTGATTCAT